TATATATAGAGAGAGAGAGAGAGAGAGAGAGTTCTAATAATGGTAACGGTTTCCGTCGGTGGTGGTTTCCAGCAATGGTTTTTCCGACATGGTGGTTTTCGGCATAGACGGTGGTTTCCGGTGAAAAAGTTATAATGAGAGAGTCTAGGAATAGGGATATGGGTGGGGTGGGGTGAGGTTTATATTTTGTTTTATTTTAATTAAATAAATAGTAAAATACATAAAAAGAAAAGAAGAAAATAAATATAAAGGACAAACATGTCATTTCAAACATATAATTCTTAAATGGACTTTTGTACTAATGGTGCAACTCCAAAATATTTTGGACCAAAGTCCCTTGACAGCCACAACCACCAAATCTGCAATTTTGTCTTTAAAATATTTTGTAAAATGTTATTTTCCACCCATGTACTTATTAAATGTCATTTTGACCTCTTTGTGTTTGAACTTTGTAAAATATCATTTTCACCCCTCCATTATATAAACTTTCATATTTATCCTCGTAGTATACATAATATGATTATTCTTAATAACTTTCATTCGTTATCTTAAAAAACTCGTTTTTATGTACTTATTTTTATGTATATCTCGGTATAAATTCGAGGTGATCAACATTTCGATGTAAATTTAAAACTTTCGTTCGTTACTTATTTTTATGTACATGTCGGTATATATTTCAATTTCTTTGTTTTTTCGTACTTATTTTTATGTACGTTTTCTACGTATGACTTTGATCACATATAATACGTTATCATACGAGAGTATATGAAGTTAGTCAGTAGTACCGACCTTCTATATTTATTTATCAACAAATTCAATGGTACCTAACTTTTATCTATATAATTATCAAAGTTCGACTGACAAAACATATTGGCGTCGTTGTAACATGCGATGGGACAAAATTCTAGTTTAAAAAAAAAAAGTTATAGTTTACTAAACAATTTGAATGATCTTCCCAAACCCTCTACGTTCCAATAATTAAAAGTGTATACAATAACACATTCATTTAATAATAAACTTTAGAACAAATTATCATTAAGTATGTCTCTACCATATAATTTGATATGATCTTAATTCATTTTATTAATCTATATCTATACAATAATAAATGTATGCGTCAAGCCATGACGTCACAACCCTATTGGTCCGTACATTCACCACGTGATTTATATTTATCTTTTCTTTATGTTTGTTTTTTTGTCGTCTCAACTTGCCCACTTGCCCACCAACTCACCAAGCCCCATCCGAACTTTCACTGAATCCACCCTCCAACCTATCCGAATTTACACAATTACCCCTCCACCAGTCGACACATTCATCGCTATATAACTCCACCATCATTCTCTTTATTTCCAGAAATTGTTCTTTCAATCCTTCTTCCCACTTCAATATCATCAAAAACACAACATTCAAAATGATGCATATTCCGACATACGGCGTCGAAGCTTTTCCGACGCCCAATTCCGGCGAACTTCCGGTGTTTTGCAGGAGCACAAGCTTCAGCAGCCTTATTCCATGTTTGACGGAGAATTGGGGTGACTTGCCGTTAAAGGTTGATGATTCAGAGGATATGGTGATTTACGGCATTTTGCGTGACGCAGTTAGTGTTGGATGGACTCCGTTTAATTTCTCAGGTAAAGAAATTAAAGCCGAGACAACTCCGTTTAATTTCTCCACTAAAGAAGTTAAACCCGAGCTGACACCGTTTAATTTATCCAGAAAAGAAATTAAAGCCGAGTCTACTGAATTAGAGACGTCGACGCCAGCTACCTACACACCTCCGTCACAGGCATCGCCGGTGAAGATAGAAGAAGCGGTTTCAACATCCGCGGCGGCGGCGTCGCCGAAGGGAAAACACTACCGGGGTGTGAGACAACGACCGTGGGGAAAGTTTGCGGCGGAGATAAGAGACCCAGCTAAAAGTGGCGCGAGGGTGTGGCTTGGGACGTACGAAACGGCTGAAGAAGCCGCGACGGCGTACGACATAGCAGCATACAGGATGCGTGGCTCGAAGGCTTTGTTGAACTTCCCACACAGAATCGGCTTGAATGAGCCTGAGCCAGTGAGGGTTACATCAAAAAGAAGATCTCCTGAGCCGTCAACATCGGCTTCATCGGCTTCTGTAAGTGGCTCGCCTAAGAGGAGAAATACAAAAGTGACGACGGCTGAGCACGTGGAGCCGGAAGTGCAGAGCCGATCGTCAAATGTGGTTGACGCCGTTAATGGTTAAGTAGATATAAAAGCGAAGTCGTTTGTAAAACAAAATGTAGTTGCCAAATTGCAACTCATGGGGTCCATCACGATGATTGATGGCCATGGGTAACATAGAATATACACGGCGGGCCGCCCGACCCGAATGTATTCGGACTTGAGTTGAATTGAAAATGTGGCCGGTTATACCTTTAAGGTTTATGTAAAATCGATAGAGCAACTTGTAAAAAAATAGTTTTAAATTTTTTTAATATATATTGCTTATATGTAAATTTAATTTAATTAATTAATTAACGTTTTATCGAGATCCACATAAACCCGACCTTGATATGGGACAAATCAGATTCTAGGCCTCTTGTGTTTTTCCATATCTTTTTTATCTTATCTTCTTGTGGAAATATAATACTAGCCTGTAAACAAACAATAAAAAGAAAAAGTAGAGATCAAGGTTGTTTAAAAAGTGATTTAATATGTAATTAAGATCATTGGTGCAAATAATTAAATAATTTCGAATTGAATATCTTTTCTCTTTTATAATTATTTTAAATTAATAATTAAATAATTTCGAATTGAATATCTTTTATTTTTTATAATTATTTTAAATTGGCCATTACATAAATAAAAGTTCATGATAATATTTAGTATTTGTCTACTCAAAAGACAAAATAATAATAATAATAATAATAATAATAATAATAATAATAATAAATCACGAGACAATGCAACCCTCCTTTATGGACACATTCTGAGATGTTTCTGCAACCTTTTTTGTTTATCTTCTTATCACTTAAAAGATCATACAAAAGCTTATCATCAAAAGTTCAAAACAGAGTCATCTCGTTAAGTCGTTATTATTCTTTGAAACCAGTGACAAGATATTTCAAAGCCAGTGTCATTTTTCGGCGATGATTGTTGAAACTATGCAATTAAAGATCTTCAATTTCTTGTCGTATAAAAAAAAGCAATTGTAAGTTATACAATTGTTATTTATCAATCATTATACTTTAATTTTAATAATTTAGTTATACGATTTCTACTTTATAAATGGCATTTTGAATATTTTAAATTTAAACCAAAGGCATTTTGGATATTTTAAACCAACAGCCCCAGGTTACCAAAAAAACAGATCATTAATTTTTTGGACTGATGGAGACTTATATATATTTATATATATAGTACATTGGTTTTCTACAATTTACAGATTAGAGTTATATTTAGGTCGTTTTTAATGGTTAAGCTATGTTATCACTTAAAACAGCTTAAAACATATCTATATATTAATCAAAGGGATTTTAGTTCAATGATATCAAGTATTGTCATTCCTCATAGACGTGGATAGTTCAAGTCTTGTGCGTCAAATATATAGAATTAGTAGTAGTTTAGGAATACATTTTTAACCTCTAATCAAATGACATCATCAACAGTTAACATATTCCAACACTTTTTTTTAATTAACTAATTTATATTCATGTGTTTAAAATGTTATATAAAACCTCTTTATTCATTAGTTACTTTTAAATGTACATGAAATCTAAAATCTCAAATCCTGGAACTAATCAGTCTATGTGGTCGTGGAGATTCGTCTGCAGTAACTTCAGAACATGAGGCATAACCTTATATTTGCAACGGAAGATTAGTCGATGCACGAAAAATTATCCTAAAACCCTAAGTTAGAGAAAGTTCCCTTTCGCAAATAAAT